CCCTTCTAAATTTTATAGTTCAGAATGCCTTCTAAAAACAGATAATTGGGAAAAAATGAAACAGAATTTGTTCTGCTCCAGTGCAAAATGGGGGGGTGGGGGTGGGCGGAACCTTGAAATGTCTGCAGTTTCTATGAAACAATATTGTCCACTGCTCAGTTCTGTCTTTTAATCCTTGTGGATCTTCTGAGGCTACTTTATTACTTAATCAAGTCGAAACCTTAATTTTAAAATATGATATAATCAGTAAGAATTGTATCTGTTAATATTCCATTGTTATAAACTCATATTTTTTACACGCTCTCTTCTGCTGTGTAAGAAAAGCAAACCTGAGTCATCCCACTAATTCAGCAGCCTAAATTCACCATGGGCTGATCAGCGGTAAAAGATGGGTTCTTCCACACCTCCGACAAATGGTAACAGATGAATCACTTGAACATGTGCTGGCAGGATAATGTTAAAAGGAGGATTTAGCCATTTTAACATTTATTAATTTAGGCATTTAATTTTTAGATCCTATACCTTGACTTTGTCAGTTAAACATACATGTCTGTATTTGCTCTCTGTAGAGTGGAAATTTATGCTTTTTAAACGAGTTGTGGGTTCAGTGCTTCAATGACCACTATTCATGTTTTTTAATTACACCTTGTTCAAGAAGGGACTTATCGCTTTATAAAAACTGTATCAGTAAGGAAATCCATGGGGAGAATGACAGCGGAGTTAGGAAAAAAATGTCTGCACAGCAAAAAAAAAAAAAGGTGTTTCCTTTGTCTACTAAAAGATTCCACTGCTGGCACAGGGGCCTGCAGGCACGCGGGGATCCTGTGGCCGTTATAGTTTCTTGCTGTCACAACACTGCCTGAACAAAGCCTGCAACTGTGGCTTAGCTGTTGTGTCCGAGATGCGGCTTTATCATCACCTGTCGTAGCAACACCTCATTAGAGACGGCACAAAATGAGAGGTATCGGAGAGTGGTGTTAACGCCTCTCTGCAGCAAGTCTACAGTTTAAAGGTGAATACTGATACTGGAATCGACACTTTGGGTGACAGTGGGGCAAAGATTTTCCAGAAGGGTACTAGCAATTAAAAATGCTAAAAGCACTAATTTCTTTCTGTCTAAATCTTAGCATTTCCCAACTGCTACTGTATCTATCTTTTAATGTTTTCTCTACCAAATATCAGGAGCCAAACCCAGTTCAAGTGGTGGCCTGCAGGCCACCTCTGGCCAAAAAGTGAATAGAAGTGGTCTGCTAGCGGAGAGCACTAGCGAAAAGAAACCAAGAAATGTGAGAAAAATAGCTGGTACGTCCCGCTGACTGTACCCAAGGAACATCTCCAGACTTCTAGAGCAGGCAGCCAGGGATGGTCTGTCAAAGCCAGTTCTAACATGCACTGCAGCTGGTTGTCACAAACCTCCTGCAGACAAGGGCGTACGTGCAAACCCCTCATCTTTATCTTCTGTGGCAGAGCTTCCCTAAGGACACTCACATACTGCTTATGGCCCAGCATCTCACAGAGTTTAAGATGCTTCTGGACTACCTCATCGTGTTTTCCACTTTGAGTTGGCCTAGAGTGGCCTTTGGGGTGGCACAGGCTGCAGTCAGAGGAGAAGCTTGTCCCAGATCTCTGATAAATCAGTAGAAAGATTCCTATTGAGTTATTAATAACAGGTGATAATAATGATGAGCTACATGATCCATGTAAGGTTTGTGTGGTTTGTTTGTGTTGGTTTTGTTTGGTTTTTTTTTTTCCTTTCCTTCCACTGGTCTATAGAAATGTTGCAGTAAAGATTATAGTCTCAGGTCTGCAGGATTATACAGTCCCTTTACTAACAGATGAGGTTGTGTTGTGGTTTTGGTTTTTTTTGTTTTTTTTTTTTTCTCCTCGTTGGCTACTGAGCTGTTTAATTTGTGCTATATTGAACATCAAGCTAGTGGTCTGTTAAAGGGCTGATCAGAAGGAGCCCTTCATGAAAACTCATCAAAAAGAGCCATTACTAACTAATAAGGTGAGAAAGCAAGAATCTTCCAGCTGGAACTAGCATCTCTATTAATGACTGAGAAATACAATGATATTTATTACATTACTTTCTTTCATTAAATGCATTGCTGAGTGTCCTTTCTTATAACAAAGTAACAAAGTGCTACCCCTCCTGAGCTGAATTTGCAGCTCCGTGCAACTGCTCAAAGCTGAGGAAAGAGCGATAAAAGTTCTGTTTTCACTTCACGGGTAGACACACATATTGTTAAACAGAGTATAATTAGTGGTGAAAATTAGTTGTCTCTGATTTTTTTCCCATCTTCTTCTATAAGTGATTGCTTGGACAGTTTAGAGAAGACTGAAAGACAGTAATAATAAATGAAAGGCTGTAACACCCTACAGGAGCAGACAGCTAGTAGGGCAGAGGTAAAACACTGATTCAGCAGTAAGAGAGAGGCTTTGGGAAGAAGGCCAGCAATACATGGCTTAGTCAGAACTGCACCGAGAGAGCATGGTGGGCACTGGGGTGGGCATAGAGGAAACGGCATTGGACCATGCAGGAAGCCCTATTTATAGCAGTCTGTCACGGGCCAGAGAGCAAGCCGGACAGGCTGGTTTCCCCCTAGAAGTAGCCTGAAGGTGCTTGTCTTGCAGGGATACTGATGGCTCTCTTGAGCTATGGGGACTGATATCCTTTAGGACTGGTTTACAAATATTATTAACAATTGAAAATAAGACAAACAAACGTTACTGAAGCAACCAGGAGGAGGTGTGGGAGAGGACCTGAGTACAAGGCTTTTTTGCAGCTTGGCAAGCCTAGTTTATTTCCTAGCTCTGCCAATAGACTTCTTTGACCTTGGTTAAGCCATTTAGTTGCAGTTGCTGACATCTTCCCATCTCAAACCTGTCTTGTCTAAAGCGAAAATTGCTCAATATATAATTTTTTTGTGTATGATGTGTCTACAGTAAAACACTAATCTTATTGAGTTATTGACTACGGAAAGGAGAACAAATGGAACACAGCTTAGTGATACGCACAGGTTGATAGATATGATTTAAAAATAAATTCCAAGCTTCCTTCTTGGAAAAGATGGAGTTTTGAATATGCCTCTTCTCTTGGCTTTATGAGGGATTACAGGAAGTGGATTCAACCTATGTGAAGATTTAAGGCTATATACTGCTATGCAATGCAAATTAATTAATCCAAAACTTCCTGTGATGAAACAAGAACTCTCCCTTTAGACTTGGAAGAAATACAGAATTTTGATATGAAGAGCGATAAGATCAGATACTCGGAAGTATTAAGACACTTGATTTCTCTTCAGTGTTTGTAGATTTGTGTTTAGATGTTTTGAGTGGATTGGAATGGTTTCATGAACAGTAAAAGAGCATCTCCTTTGCCCTAAAAGACTAATTTCTTACGTTACTTAGTTGATTGATTGATACTTCTTCCCTTACCCTTTTCCATTTTCTTTGTAAAGATTGTGAGACATATGAAGTTCTCCTTTAAACAAAGGATTCTGATACCACACTGCAGGAGGTCTAAAAATTGCATCCCTTTTCTTCTATTTATTTTTATTTTTTTATAATTAAAGCCAGAGTAAAATTAGACAAAAGAAGCCATTGTGTTAGGGAAATGTAAAGCAAACACAAAAGAAACCCTGAAGACTTATGGAAAAATCCTAAAATATTTACCCACAATATCAACATTTCACTGGAGGAATCACTGTTGGCTGTTTAGTCCTTTTGTATGTAACAAAGTGAAATGAAGATCATGCTTGTGAATGAGGCCTGTGATTTGGGGTGCACTGCTGGCTAAATGTGAGCGTGAGCGTCCCCCCAGCATTTCTTGAAAGTCAGTGCCTTGCCAGTCAGTGCTGGAATACTTTGTGTACAAAGTTTGGCTGAAGAGGAAATTAAATATTCGTGATCTGTGGGCAGGTTTTTTAACATAAAAAAAAAAACTCTTGAAAAAGCAACAACAATAGCTATTAGCATTCTTAGCATTCCTCAGTTAGCATCTCCACTGAGAGACTAATTCCATGTGAATGTCATGAATGTGACACTTCATCAATCCAATCTGCACAGGTGTTTAACCATTTTGTAGGAGAGGAAGGCTGTGATAAACATAACATCCTTCAGTGGAGACATGTAAACCAGCTGGGGCCTTCAGCTATTTTATCAGCTTTATTTTTAACCCTGGTAGAAATATGGAGTTTGGGAAATTGTCCTTCTATTCATTTGATTAAGGTATGGTCAGAAATTAAGAAAGGCTTTCTTGTGCCAGAACCATAGCAAATGTAAATTATGGTTTGTTGAGAGTATAAGACTTTACAGCTGCCCAAGATGTGGCCTTTTGAATATAAGGGTGAATAGAAATGATCTTTTTCACCTCTAAATCTGATCTGTCCACACTGGACTTCAAGCCTACGGGGGAGAAAGAAGAAAATGGTGGTGTTGCTGCTCCTCCTGTAATCTGTGCTCTTCCTGAGCAACTAGTACACTACAATTGTACAATGTAATTATTTCACACCAAATTTGCTCAAGAATAATGCCTGCTTAAATTGTAAATCTTTCAGAACATCTCATGGGACAGATCACATGATCCCCATTTGCCAGGATTACTGAGCCTTACCACCTAATTTGCCTAGACACATTTATTATGGCACTCATGCGTCACAGAATGAAGGCCAATGATATCTTTCCAAGTGTTTTATGTGCATTTCTTTTTTGTTTTCTGGCATAGGTCCAAGCTGTTTTGAGAAGACACTGGAATCAGTACAAAATCCAATTTGAGCACAGCTTCAGCCACTCGGATGCTATGCGCACCGCTTCCTACACCGTATCGTCAATCAGCGATGTTCAAGGCTACAGCTACAATCATGACTGCACCAGTGAACACTTAAATGGGAAGGGCTACCATGACATGGAGAGCGTTGTTTTAAAAACTGAAAAGCTGTATGGTTGACTGCCAGAGGCGCGGCATGTGCCAGTGTGCTTACCCTCGTGAACTCCAAGTTTGATTTAATGACTTCACGGCCAGAAGATTTTACCTAACTTGGGATATGTTATTCTCCTGAATGATGCAAACTAAACCGACGCATTTTTCATATGTATGTATATATATGCATATATACATATGTTTGTGTTTCTGTGTATCTATATAGTATGGACATCTGTACATATATATATCTATATATGTATGTGCATTTATATAAGGATACAAACTTTGCCTCTTCAGTTTCTACTGTGTAGACAAAGTTGGCAATTTTTTGTACAAAGGGAATCAATGAAGGATTTCTTATTTTCTTGGAAGTTTGTATAAGACTGTGTTGATTTGAAGCCGCTTCATTTGCCTACAGAATGTAAATACCATACTGTATTGTCTTAATTCAACCTAAAACAGAACAAAGGAAAATGGTTAAAGTAGGTGCAATAATAACACTAGATTGTCCAGTTTAATTTTGTGTCCAGCATTTCACTGTCCAAAAAGCCCAACAGGTAGTCTGAGATAACAGACTCAAAGATACTGATGGTTTGGTTTGGTTTGGTTTGGTCACTTTGAGTTTTCCATTATTTTAAATCAAGCATTGAGACACCAGTGCAAGTCTGAGACTCTACTTACTTCTGTACTGCAATGCAATAGTTTACAGCAAGCTTTAAGCAATTTTATTTAAACTATTTTTTTGTAGATACAGGAGTGTCTCCTTCTCCTCAAGTTTATGGAATTATCTTATTGGCTTTAACACAGACAAGATCAATGCGGCTTTACTGCCAGACAGAAAAGTAGTAACCTGAATAACTGTAAATCCTTTCAGACACTAATACGTAATTGAAGCTGATGAAACTTCACTGTGTGCTTACGGAATTTACTCAGCTGGGAAAAAAATCATGTACAGAATTTGTTGTAGTCATGTTGTTGTTTTGTTTCATTTTTAAGTATTTCCCTGGCCATATGATTGATAATTTATTCCTTCATTCTTGGGGCAAAGTTTTGATTAATTTTGTGGCTTGCTTTTTGTCTGAGAAAAGCATGGAAGACTGAATGCAGTGCAAATGACATACTACCTTTACAGCCAGTGTATGAGATTCAGGCTATAATCAGGCAAACTAATGTTAGTAATTGCCATTATTTGGAAAAGCCAATACCAAGTTTGTCTTATAAACGTTCAAAACATTACCGATTGAGAATTTTAGTTTTATTTTGCAGTGCTTGATTCTGAATCTCTATCTCAGTTATTTCGCTTAGAACAGTACTTTATGAGTTGTTTCTTGGGTTCTACTGGTGAATAAAGGTCTCGCTGAAAATGAGGAGGTTGTCAGGAAGGTCTTGAGAAAATGTGTCTTTATAGAAATCTATGTTTTTGTAAATCTTTATGCTTTAGAGAAATAGTAGTTTTCTTAAGTGAAATGACAAACATGCTCAAGAATGAGGGCATGATATAAGGTAAGTTTAGAAAAGCCTTACTAAAAATCACAAAATTAGAAAAAGGTTTTATTTATTTTGCAGATAAGTCTACTTCAAGTGGGGAGAAAAACAAAACGAAGTAAAAGAAAAGTAGATGCTGGAGTTGATAGACTATTATGCTAATTAATGTATAGCTGGTGCATGTAAGCAGTCAAAAAAACAAAAGACGGTTCTTTCTGAGACCACTTCAGTTTTAAATACTTAATTTTGTGTATGAACAACTTGACATTTAAACGTTTTTGTCAGTAGCCTTTCTGTAAGCTTCATTAGCATCTAGTTAATTTGCTGTCACAGCGTTTATTGGTTTGTGGCTTCATAAGGCTTTAAATGCTTTGTATTTAGAAGGAAAACATTAGGAGGATGCGGTAAGTTCACGCCACTTGCACCTTTCTGTAGATTTTTTACAATTCTTATGTCTGGAGTTTGAATTTAGAAAGCGTTTTATTATTGATTTAGTTTCATAATATAGAATCTCAGCTAGGATGCACAAATCAAGGTTTCTGTTCTTCTGCAAGGCTGTCTGGTTGATTGATGGGAATGATTTGAAAATCAGTTGGATTCTGTATTTTAGAATAGTGTGAAATCTGGCAATCAGATGTCACAATCCCTTAAATTGTTAAGAATACAGTAACAGTATCTGCTACAACATGATTAGAGGTTACTTACAACTCTGCTTGCTGATCTATGTAGCGTTACTTAGAATCTGTGCAACGTTCTGAAAATATTGGTGGTGCAGAAAATCCCTGCTCTGGTATAGCAGCTTTACACTTGGGGGACCAGATCACCAACTGGTGTAAATCTGTCTTGAGTTCCATTTTCAGAATCAAGGGGTACCAGCTGAGAATCAAAGCCCACACAAATATCTGTCCATTTAAAAGGGCTTAGAAGTCCTTTATGGCATATTATCAGACAATTATTTCAATGGTACCTGGTGGGGTGGTTGTTATTAAAAGATACGTGACGGTTTAGAGTGTGATACAATATTAGATTTTGAATGAAGCTTTCTTCTCAGCTAGGCAGATCAGATTTAATAGCCTATAAATTTTTATCATTTAATACAAAGTACTAGTTGCTAATTGCTCCTTTCTCTGTGAGAGAAACTTGTAACGGTCATTTAGGAGGGGAAATTTTTTTTCCACAGAAATCATCCTACTTTTTTAGGTGGAGAGTCACATCATGCTTCTAGGCACATGTCTGTCTTCACTTTGGAAAAGAAACACTCATCCAGCTGGATGTGGAAGAAAATGTTTGTGGCTGTGGAGGGTTATATGGCATAGGAGAGCTACATTTCCCCCTCGTCATGAGGTTAACTAACCTATTTCCTATTTTGCATTCGAAAATATAAATTGCCTATTTTGTCTTCCTACCTCACCTTTGTCAGTTCCTGCACAACCAAGAGAAGGGTCTGCTTCTTAAAATCAAATCGTTATGCTGATTTCTCATGGCTTATTTTCTGCTTTACAGAATGTTGTAGTCCTTATCTGTATTCTCTGGGATGGAAGTAAACTCTCTTTTGGTGGGGCTGTGAGATTCCTTTGAACATGCAAACAGTTATCTGTTATTATTTGCTCTTTATTTTTTTGTTATTTAGTGAGGACTTATTGCATAAATCCACAGGGGCTACAGGAATACTTGTCTTCTACTTGGTATCTGTAACACCAGCGTGTTAGTATTCTGTGAGAGGGAATGTCTATTTTTAATGCTACTGTCTTCAATTAATAAAATGCTCCGTTGCAGGGTCCCCTCAGTCATTTGTTTGTTTGTTTGTTTTAATGTTAGCATTTATGCTATGTATTTTTTCAGTGTGATGATCTACTAGAGTATTTGGCTGTAGAAATGCTGTAACACGTACTCCTTTTCATGTCATGAAACATTTGGGCTGGAAACCAGGCAACATTCAAGTATTGTCCTATGTAAATAAGATTAATAGAGGCTATAGCATTGTATTTATTGCTTACGCTAAGAATGAAATGGAAAAAATGTGAAGTTATTTTTTGGTTGTGCTTTATTTTCACTTTGTTCATATGAATCATCATGCATTTTAATTGCCAAGACGTATTATGTTTGTGATCAATAAAATATTACTACATTTATTCAGATCTCTTGTGCTCTAATATGGAAGTACCAAAGCTGATCTAAACTAGGCTTTCACAGATGTCTTAACTGTGTGTTAAGTAAATAATAACCCAGGGAGAAAGCTATTACATAGAGTTACTACCAAGTATTCAGTTTTTAAGTGTTTGTTTATTTAATACTTTTACATTTTTAATGCATAATAGAGTGTTGCATTTCTGGAGGAAGCTTGCATAGATGACTTTAAGATGGCTGCTCTTAAAATTATTTGCTCAAAAGCTTCATATTCCTATTTATTTCTCATCTCCTGAATCTGCCTTTTAATAAAAAGTTATTAATACTTACTATGTTAAGAAGCCAAATTTTCTGTTCCATCATGAGCTGGCAGCAGAGTAGGGACTAAAGTAAATGTATCTGTCTTCATTCCATCAGTCTAGGTGGAATTCCTCTCAACATGGTGTTCCACCGAAGAGACTTATCTGTGCAGAAGTTGGTTGGTTCTGTAAGACCTACAAGAAGCAAAGCAAGAGAAAAAATGAGTGAGTTCACAAAAGCTGTGACTGACAGGTATGTTTTAAATCCGTAGAATTGAGTCTATTCTTCAAATACTGAAGCCTGTCTGACTTCAGAGACATGCCTACCAGCATGTAATTGCTAAGCTTTTGAACGGTATCAGCTGATGATCAAACCACTCTAATATAGATAGGGGAAATGCCAAAATACATGGGCACTTAATCTACAACTTAAGTTATCGCTCACCCAGTTTGCACTTCAGCAGGGGCAGCAGCCACAGCAAGATAGGGGTGTAGCAGCTCTCGTGGGGAAGTGTTATAATTATAGCTACATTGGGCCAGCTCGGGTGTCCCTACACTGTTGCAGGTCTAAATTTCATAAGCTAACTGGGTTAAGTGTGCTTCTACCTACAGTGATGACACATGAAATTTAGGCATCTGTTTTCAAGCGCAGTCTCTAGAAATTTTGTTTAACTTGCCCAGTCGTCCAAAATTGGGAAGGTGTTCTTTTTTTGTATGCCTTTCAGCAAATCCCATTAAATTTAGAGCTGGACTGCTTACCTGCTTCCAGAGTGAAACATACTGCTTCAATTTTTTATTAACTCATTTGAGTGAGTTTCTACCATAGCTACTAAAAAAATCTGGCAAAACAACTTTAGAATAACCCATAACCTGTCTTCATTTTCATCTGAGACTGCTGCTCCTAGACTTCATGATGGGGTGAACTGAAGGTATGGATCACAGCTCAAGAAGTGGCAGCAAACTCCAGCAGATTTTTATTAAAAAGCATACAGGAAATCACCACCTAGAATTGTTAAAAGTCTTAGTTAGGTCAACAAACAAACATGGCTCTTTGCTATTAGCTAGCTTATAGCCATGAAAAGTAGTTCAATACTGCACTTAGCCTGAATTTCCTCATTTCAGAGATTTGGTTTACAAAAGAGCACATATGATGGTTCTGTTT